GGCTCAGACAGGGTGCCGGCTGCAAGGCCCTGAGGATGGAGAGAGTGTGGCTCCCCGGATTACCCGCCAGGGCTGGTGCAGCATCACTTATAGCCCGTGAGGGGGACATTTCGCCGGCACAGAGGAGCCGCGCAGCTAATTCTAGTCAAGATCACTCAGCCTTATGTCCTCCCAGCAATTCCAGACAGAGCTTGTCCTCTCGCACGTTTAGAGTCCCACGATGAGGCAGAAACAGCACTTCGAGGTGAGCAACAGGAAAGAGATTTAAAGGCTGGCGAGAGAGACGTCGCTGTCCTGGCCCAGCAGTCCAGCACCTTGAAATAGGATGACTGGCGGGCAAGCGAGGTCTGAGGGAGGGGGGTGGTCGTCTGTCGACCTCCTGTTCAGCCTGGGGCAGGAGCCTGGCTGTCGATCATGACCTGGGTTCAATTCCTTTCATGATATCATATATGCAAATGTGCCCCGTAAACTGCAAAATCATAAATGTCCGATGTCAAGGGAAAATGCGGCGTGGAGAAAGAACGCGGGTTGCGAGCCAGCGGGGAGGGGTCCCCGCTGCCCGGCGTGGCCTCTTGGGCCCGTGGTCCTTCGGGGGGTGGGGGTCCCGCCGAGCGTGCTGCGAGGACCCAGGGCCCGGCGAGAGCAGGTCGCCTTGTGAGTCGCAGCGCCCTGCACTCCTGTCTCCACCCCTGGGCCCCCGCTGGGTGATGGGACCAGTGGAGAGGCGCGGCCAGGCTTCGGCCAAGTCCTGCGTGCCGGCCCCTCCCGGGGGTGCAGAGGAGAGGACTCGGCCCAGGCCGGGGGGAGCCCGCGAGTCCACCCTCACCCCGATGGACCGGGAGAGGCCGCGGTCTGTGGGGGTCGCCCCCGAGAGCCAAGTGCGGGCCCGGTGACACGCGTTGTGGCGTGACTGGGATGTCTGCGGGGCTGCGCTCCCCGGGGACCCCCCGAGGCTTCAGAGGACGCCGGTGGGTCACCTGCAGGCCGGCGGCAGGCGGGACAGCCTGTGGGCGGAGCCCGTGGCCTCCGCGGCAGCTTCTCGCTGTTGGCCCGCAGAGGGGGTGATCTCATCCCAGTGTTGAATTAGCACCCCGACTTGGCCTCACTTTGAAGCTCTCAACTCAGCGTCGAGTAGAGATGGCCTTTCAGCCCGCCCCCTGGCAACTGTGCCTCGGGGGGCGCCTCTGGAATGTGAATAGGGTCGGTCCCCACTTTGTATGTTTTCTACCGGAGTAACTTGCACTATGCCTGGGAAGCCCTAGGTCCCCAGGGGCACGGTGGGGACGGCTGGTATCACCTTGCAAGTGGTTTTGGGCGGACAGAGGAATCGAGTTCACTTCAATGCATACAGAACTGGGGTACAAGTCAGAGGTGCAGGAATGGGGAGAGGCTTCAGCGGAGACAGAGTGGGGAGCAGAGCAGGCCGGCTGCTGAAGTACACTGCTGAGGGGAGCAGCGGGCGGGTCAGGAGAGGTCTGCCCCGCCACGTGGGTCGCCTCCGGGGCGGGGATCGAACTCGCACCGAGGCGGCTGTGGCCAGCTTGCAGTGCTGCGTCCTGAGCCATTGCGCCGCCAGGCAGGGCCCCCAAGTTCACTGTCTCCTGCTTTGACTTGAGGGCGCTGACACAGCACCTTGGTTTCTGGTGCACAGCGTAACGGTGCAACACGTGCCGTAAACCACAGTCACGCAACTTCCTCATTGTGGTGATGGCAACTTTTAAGACCTACTATCTGACTTTCTACATTGCATTTACATGACAGCAAGATGCAGTCTGACGAGCCTTAACAGTGCGCCGCCCCTCCGCCAGGTAGAGCCGTCCGTCTCGCCAGGCGCGCTGGCCTTGTGAACATCTCCCCTTCCTGTGGGAGCCAGGGCTGGCTGGGAACGGGGCAGGTGACGGGGCGCAGGCCAGGCTCGAGGCCCCACTCCCCACCCCCGCCCCTGCCCAGCTGTCTCCACCTCCTGGGATTTGTTTCCACATCTGTAAGACAGGGTTAATTAAACCTGTGAACCCAGAGGAGGCGCTGGGGGGACCCTAGTTTCCAGAAGGGACACAGTGAGGGGGCGGGGGGCAGGGCTGGAGCCGCCCCCAGGGCAGCGGTCACCCGCGGCCCTCCCTGCTCACGCTGCTGTCTCTGCCCCCAGGGATGAGCCTGCAGGCCTTCGTGGAGGCGTTCTTCTACCTGGCCCAGAGGAAGTACAAGATGCTGCCCCTGCACCAGCAGGTGGCCTCCCTCATCGACCTGTGCGAATACCACCTGTCCCTGCTGGACGAGAAGCGGCTGGTCTGCTCCCAGAATGGCACCTCGGGCGGCCACCTGCCCCCCAGCGCCACGCCCCAGGAGGCCCAGGGAAACGCCCCGCCCTGCACCAACAGCACCCCCAAGCTCGGGCACTCCAGATACACTGTGTCCTGAGGGCCGCCCTGTCCTCTGGGAAGAAGAGCGAGGCCTTGGGGCCCGAGGGAAGGCCCCGGGCTCCGGCCGGCCGGGGCAGGCTGCCACAGACGCCCGCTGGAGATCCCCAGGCGTCCTGCTGGAAGGGCCCACTGGCCCAGCCCCCGCCCCGCCAGCGCCTCTCGCCTCCTGTTTGTGAGTCGCCGGCGGACATTTGACATCCAAACGTGGCAGGTGGCAGCTCACGGAAAGCAAGCGCCGGGGAGAGACTGCTGCACGTGGGGCACGTGGCACCCACCGCCCCAAGACTGAGGGCGGCGGGAGCGAGGGGCTCGGAGAACGTGCGCAGCGCCAAGTGCATCATGTTGATTTCCTGCCTTGCGCCAGCGAAAAGGAAGAGGAAAGACCACGTTGGCATCCCCAACTCCCAAACCGATCATGTGCTACATGGGTGTAGTTAACAGATTAGCCTCATTTATTTCATTAGCTTGCCTGTTGCTGCAGCGTTTGGTTTGTTATTAATTAAGAAATAATTAACGAAGAAGTAACTACCTACGGCTCCCAGCATCAGGGAGCTGGCAGGCACCTCACAGGTGCTTCTGTTTGACCTTGACCCCGAAGCGGGAGTGCACGGCCTGTGGCCTCTGGTGGGAGACCCCGGGGGTGGGGCTCGCCCGTGGCCAGCAGGTGTCCAGCCCTTGACACCAGGTGTCAAGGGGAGGGAGGCAGATGTGGGGGCGCAGCCTGAGGTCAGGAGCTTGGTGTCGACAAGGTGCCAGGCACCGGGAGCCCTTTCCCTGTCCCCCCATGTCCCGAGGCAGCCCCTCCTCTCAGGGAAGCCTCAGAGACCCCCAGAGCTGGCCTTCTGGGAAATGGCTGCGGGCAAGCTGGAGCCCAGTGCCCATCGGGGACGGGCAGGTGTCTCTGCCCTTGCAAAGCCAACTCTCTGATGGTGCTGGACTTGAGGCTGAAGGCGGCCCTGTTCCCAGAGGGCCCCCCTGGAAGGATCCTGGGAGCAGAGCCGGCAGTTGGGCACACGCCCCAGAGGGGGGCCAGGGAGTGGGGCGGAGTGGGGGCGTGTCCAGACAGGCCCTGCCCCTTCCCGCCTCTCTTCTCGTCTCCTGCTTCCTGCTCCACGTCCTCCTCACTGCACCCTCGGGAGCCGGTGACTCGGGCCCCGCGACGAGCAGCCACACACGCTCAGGGCACATCTGGGCAGTGAATGGCGTGGAGCATCTTTAAGCCCAAAGAGAAGCGTGTTCATTCGGGGTCTCCTCCCCTGTGGAGGTGTCGCACAGGGAGGTGTCCCCGCCTACGCCCTGAGCAAGCTCCTTCCAGGGGGGACAGCCGGTGTGCAGGGCGGCTCCTGGCAAGCTCCCCCCGCCTGCCTCCGGCCCCCACTCCACTGCCCCCTCCTCCTGCTCCCTGCCCAGCCCTGGGCGCTCCTCCCCCTCCCCCCCAGCACCCCAGCCCTCCGTGCAGGAGACCTTGTAACCTCTTTATCTTCCAGTGCGCTAGCAAGGTGGGTCGAAGAGAAAGGAGATTGATGGGTGCCCTGCACCTCCTGAGGGCAGGTGCCAGGGGACCCGCTGGTGCAAGGCGGCATCCGTCTGGGGCTGCTCCAGGGCACGGTCCCCCCTTTCAGATGAGGGGACAAAGGCCTGGGGGCCACGGGGCGGGGCTCCGTCCCCACCACCCTCCCTCGTCTGCCCCGCAGGCTCCTGTCTGCCGGCAGTGTGACCTGTGCTCCGTCCCCGTCAGCCGGGCCCTCCCTCCCTTGGTCCCTGTGGGGCGACCGCCCCCCTCCCTGCTGGCTTGTCCGCAGCCCCAGCTCAGACGTCCTCCTTGCAGTCCCTGAAGGAATGAGCAAAGAGCCGCACACACTGAGAACCCAGCAAGTCCCTCCCTGCCTGCACAGCGCCCCGCTCCCACCGCGCTCAGCTCTTTCAGTCAGGCAGGGGCCCCGGTCTTGGGCCCGGGAACCCCGAGGAGCCCAGCAGCTACCTGCGAAACAGCAGGAACGTGCTGCAGCCCGGGAGGAGCCTGGTCACCTGCGGTGCCCTTAATCATGGGGTTCCGAGCCTGGCCAAAGCCAGGTGCTGACCACCGTCACAGACAGGGGCTCCTTGCCAGGGGCCTCCACGCCCCTTCCTGGGGGTCTGGTCTGGGGCCCTGCCCTGGCTGCCCGTCGTTGGGGCCCAGGCCCTGTGGGTGCCCCGTCCTCCCCAGGCTCCTCCGATCTGTCTCTTCAGGCCTCAGGCAGGCCGGGCGGACGGGAGTGGGGGTGGGTGGTTCAGAGGGGCGGTGTGGATGGGAAATGGGGAGTGGGGAGACAGGGCGGGTTGGGGCGGGGTG